TTGTTGATAATTCGAGGCTTTGTCTACATAGGGCTTTATTTTCTACTCGATGTGGATGCTCATTGGGACATCTTACTGCACACGCTCATATATGCTACAAATCATTCAGTTCCTCAAACGGTCCCCCATAGCTATCAGCAACCCACAATCATTAAGAACCACACTCGTTGCCTGCTAAGCCGCAAAAGGCACTGATGAGCAGAGTACAAACGAATTAACAACAATGGAGCGTACAGGCAATATAAATATATAAGGAACATATGCACGAAGGCCGTAAGAGAAGACAGGCTTCAGTACCAGACAAAGCTTATGGAGAAATTTGTCTGTAATCCGAAAACCCTATTCCGTTATGCAGCCCCTATTTGTCAAGCCAAAACTGGAGTTCCCAACTGTTAGGTCTTAACGGCCCGACCTGTGACGACGGCGACGCCGCTAACCTTTTGGCTGGACAATACTCTTGGACATTTAAACCGATCCACATAAACTATACTGAGGAAAGCTTAATCTGCAACTCCAAAGGACTTTCCGAAGTGAACCCGAGCGCTGACTTGGTGTTCCGGAAACTGCAGCACTTAAGAATTGACACTTCTCCTGGCCCGGATATGGTTCATTATGCCATACTGAGGGAAGCAGCCTCAATCCTGGCAACACCGCTTACCGTGATTTTCTCACACTCGCTAAGCCGAGGAAAACTACCGGAAAATTGGAAGCTGGCTCACATAACACCAATTTTCAAAGAGGGTCGACGCAGCGAACCTTCAAGTTACCGATCGGTGGCTCTTCTCTCAATACCTTCGAAAATCATGGAGTCCCTGATATGTGATGCTATAAATGACTATTTACTGTCCTTAAATTTCTTCTCACCACAACAGCATGGTTTCAGGAAGAGTTACTCTTGTATAACCAACCTGCTGACTGCGGTGAAAAGATGGACAAGCATCCTCGATCATAAGGGGAAGGTTGATATCATCTACCTAGATTTCTCAAAAGCTTTTGATAAGGTTAACCACTTGTGTCTTACGAATACGCTCAAACGACTAGGTATCAGACCACCTCTAATCGATTGGCTTACTTCACACCTGAAAAATCGACACTTTAATGGTCGATAAGGGACACTCACTACCACCCTAAAAAGTCAAGAGGACCGCACAATTGGCTGCCTACTACCAGTGGTCTTGCATCTATGGAACCTGTTACCAATCAACTGGTTAAGACAACAGAAAATAACATCAGCACCAAGTTACTGTGAGTTCCTTCCTGTTTATCTTGTATTAACATTTTACTCTTCTGTACACTATGTTGACTAGCGATTAATATTATTTCTACACTCGTTCCCTTATCCACAACTCATACTTCTATACTCTTTCCGCCTGCTTAAATAAACAACTATCCTACAATATACCCTTCTTAACACTTATACTCTGATTGGCAAACTATACTTTATACTATAGTCAACAGAGGCACTGCATCGATGCTTTACCCGCAGTCCATAGCTTGTAACTGCCTGATAAGCTTGTAAAATGGTGCTTATAGAAATAGTGCTTTCCAACAGGTTGTGAAACAGAGGATTGTGTGAGGTATGACGTGTATACAAAAAATAAGCCTAAATGAGCCTAACATCACAAAAGGAGGGAGGGTGGAGTTACTGACCAGCAAGCATTGATGGTGAGGGCGATAAATTCAATCCACCCGTGTTTGTGGTGACAGAGCATTTTGTATGTACCAGGCTCTTTATAATTAAGAATAAGACAGTCAATCTGAGATATAGATTGTCTTCCTACGCTCACCACTCAGACTCATGTTTCCAATATTATGCTGGATTAGCTATTCTACTAAGACAACCTATAACGTGCTAACTCGGACTTTTACACTAGGATTGCGTGGCCGACATCGGATGGACAAAAAAAAGAAAAAAGACAATAAAAGATATAGTCACTAGTATTCTTAACACTACACCCTCTATATACACACCCTTCTAATAAACCGCTTCCCTTGTACCAACCTTGACTTCCTTTCCTTCATGTGAGCTTACTCCAACTTGTTAAACATCACAACTCATTGTTCTTTATTAGTACATTCTCTAATATGGAGCCTCGGACTTCACTTCACTCTAACAATACAAAATATGAATTTATTCTAATTTATTCTACCTCTGTCCGTACTACTACACAATGTTAAGCAACCTTTGGCGTTCATATCCAAGTGCCTTGCTGCTCCTCTGTTTCTCTTTTTTTCTTTTTCAGAATCTTGCTCTGAGAGCACAGCTATGGAACTTCTGACGTTTGGAGCAAACTTGACGTACGCGTCCTCTCAAGGTCATAGTTTACAGTAAGCGCTCTACGATTTCACTTTATAACAACTATAAACTTAATAAGTTGGGAAGCATTTTGCGAACCAAAAAATGTTGTAATTTATAGATCATGCCTGTAAACACGGTGTGTACCTGCACATGCAGAAATATATTATTATTATCATTATTATTATGTCTTATCAATAAGCTCAAACGACTGCGTATCAGACCACCTCTAGTCGATTGGCTTACTTCATACCTGAAAACTCGACACTTTAATGTTATGGTTAATTTCACTTTATCTCAGGCTATGGAATGTCCTAGTGGGGTTCCCAAGGGCTCAGTACTAGAACCTCTTCTCTTCTTGATCTACATAAATGATCTTCCTCAACAGGTAACGTCAGACTTATTATTTTTTGCCGACGACGTGAAACTTTGGAGAGAGATACGCAAGCAAGACGATATACAGGCACTTCAGGAGGATCTGACTCGACTTCAAAGTTGAGCAGACGATAACGGACTTACCTTTAACACTTCAAAGTGTAAATTGGTCCATATGCGACATGTTGCAGACTGCAGTTACAACTTAAGAAGCTCCTCGCTAGTAGTATCCCAAGTCGAAAAAGATTCAGGAGTCCTGGTGTCCTATGATTTAAAGTCTTATACTAACTGTGACGAAAATGCCTTCCGAGCAAACCTTGCACTGGTTATGTTGTGGTGCATTTTTGACCAGTTTGACGTAAGAACTTCCCTTATAATCTTCAATAGTTCTATCCGTCCCCATTTAGAGTATGGAAATAGAGTATTTCTTCCCTCACTCCAGAAGGACAAAGACACTCTGGAGCGTATCCAACGGCGAGCCACGAAATCAGTTAGGCGACTCAAATTCGAACCTTATGGAGAGCTCCTTCAATCACTTAACCTTTACCCGTTAGAGTATAGGCGTCTTAGAGATGACCTTATGATGGCTTACAGTATCCTTAACACTTCTGGACATCATCTCAAGCACCTACTTAAGCTTAGTTTCAACACTAACCTAAGAGGTAATACCCAGAGATTGGAAACACGATATGGCAGAACGGACTGTAGACACAACTTCTACTCCTTAAGAGTTGTCAAATGCTGGAATTCGCTGCCGGCCGAGCTAGTCCAAGCGACTTCCCAGGAGACCTTTAATAGGCAACTCGATCTGTTTTTAAGGATTAAAGATAGTATCATACTATGATTTACCGATTTATTTTTCCTCTTTTATTGTTAACATACCTAGGTTCCTGCCTGGAGTTAATCGTGATCCCCTATTAATAGACATGGAAGCCTGTTAAGCGAAAGCTTATTCTATTCCGTCCACAACCATTTGAACTATTTTCAATACCTGTGTCATCTCTATCAGACAACTATCTGGAAAGCTGAATTTAGAACATGTTTCACGATAACGTGCAATCAAATGTACATTTTATATTATGAATGTTCTAAGACAATATCCAATAATCCCTAAACAACTATTTTCGTATTCCCAAGGTAGGCCGGTGTGACTGAAAATTATAGGTGCTAACGACAGGTTTGTGAGATACAAAATGTAACAGACTCATAGTGTCTAATCAAGCTACTAGGATAAATCAGTTATGTTCATGCTACTTAAAGTCCATTATCATATCGACAACCTATTTCCATGTAGTACATGCGCGCCCCGATATATAGTATTCATCTATTAACCACTTAGATTGTTACTGTCTAGTATAACTCGGTTTATTAACGTCTTTATTGTACAGGGACATGCATAACCTTATCTAAAGGGATAATTAAAAGTTCCAAGAAAAGTAGTGTATTCATTCTGATTCCCGAAATGGAAGTCGTGTAACCGACTAATGGACGTTGGTTTACACTATTCCAGTGAACTCTCGTAAAGCAAGGGCAATAGATACAGTTGCATCAGTATATTGAGCTTTCCAGGGGAGATAACTGGTAATAAGATTCTACAGAACTTCTTTACATAGAACAAGGAATAACCTATTGTGTAGTGAAACCATATGTTCAGAAGTAAACATTGATATTAGGGAAACTATGTTACTCAACACAAAATAATTAAATGCACACGACTGTATACTCAATTTCGTACATCCTTTCGTATTGGAAATGAAACTTCTAAAAGTACCATTGCAGTTCATTTTGTAATTCCCATTGTGTTAAAACTTATGGTGATTCTAAATGTCGTGGCCCATACACATAGGCCTATATCAACCTTTTCAAATTTGATCGTAAGTCGAAGCAGTGAACTGCGAAGTTAGTATATCTGGTACCAGTTCCCAGCGTTGAAAGTACGGTTATGAACGAAAAAACCCAATTGTTTTCGTCAGTGGCTCTGTTAGCTTTGTCATTACTCTGCGTATTATAGAAAAGGACAAAATAGTTTCGAATAGCTTAATTCCATAATTTATTGTTATTGACATTGATGTATTTCAACAGTGAAATGTCCAGAACACTTCACAGCGACAATCTCCCTCTCAAAACCAGTTTTTTGGTTAATATTAATGAATACATCTCTCTTACAGTACTGTCATTATACCACTTGTGGCAGTATTCTGCCATAGAAAACGTCTATATAAGCGTTTATGCTTCTAAAATAAGAGTTTGCATGTGATCACCAACTGTAGTTCTTATTTTTAATGATTTCAATAAATACCACGGTAACGTACGAAAGTCCAGGGAAACACTTTTAGCCAGCTTTTGCACACTGCCCAACTCCGAGCACCACAAATACGGAATGGTCGCCTTCAACAATGCCACTCAAGGTCGTGGTGGTGAATTTGACCTGGACCTACCTGTGATGAACTGCAGAGAATACTCCTTTATCTTCGTATGCTTTTTCAGCTTTTTAATCCTTTTAATAGTCTGTTGTAGAGCCTGAAATTTCGGATGTTGTTTCAGGTATCTAATTTGTTGTAACATTGTGTTTCAGCTTTATTTCATACAATTTTACTTCATAGGACGTTGCCGACTGTGAGTTTCTGTAGTTGTTTTATTTCAATACAGCTTGATTTTAAAGGAGGAGCAGTGAGCTACAATTCCTATCTTGGTATATGTGATGTGGATTGTAAAAGTCTTGACTTGACCTACGTAAGTTCCATACTTCCTAGTGAGTGTTCTATGGTGTATCTTGTGTGGTTCTAGAGTCGTTTATGCTTCAGAGTGGACATAAATCCAGGCGAAGATCGCTTAAACGTTGTTTAGTAATCTTAATCGTTGTGATGAACTTTTTATCATGTTAAGTCTTTCATTATTCGACTCAGATACCCTTATTCGTTTGGTTTTTACGGGCACTTTACCTCACTCGACTAGTCCCCAAAATCAGTCTTCAGTAATAAGGATAGTAGGTTAATGAACCTGTATTAATCCTGACAGATTGCCTTCCAGTGAAGGTCCAGCTTCTTGAAAGTATTCACTGATGGGGCTGATACCACTTATTCGGGTAAGAACGCGCGCTATCTAAAAAGGACAGTGGTATTGTTTCTCGTTGAATTAGTTAACTGTTTTGATCGTAAATTACGTATCAAAACTACGATTTACACTTTAATTGAATCCACTACAGTTAAAGTGATATTCTATTGAGTTTTTTGGCTTTTGTGTATTTATTACATTCGAAATCATTCTTGGTCTGTATCAAAGTACTTTAGTTAAGGTTTAAAATCTTGCTAAAGTTTGTCTTGTGGTAACCTTTTATCCGTTGACTGACATTTGTGTTCGTACTGTGATCATATTGTGTGTTACACCTTGATCTGACTAAAATGGTTGGTAGTACTTACAAATGTGGACAACCAAACTGTTTGTTCCCTGTGGAGGACAGAATGCAGTGTGACGAATGCAATAAGTGGTTCCAAAAAATGTGCACCCGTTTTAGTCCCACCGCATACAAAAGATGTTCGAAGCCTAACTCACACTGGCTTTGCATGTTTTGCTATGCCAACAAGGCATTACTAATACAGGAGGGTATGAGCCTTATTGGCTTTGGTCTGTAAGAAGAACGATGGCATATGCGCTGACAACACGGGCACTGACAGTGACGAATGTGTCAGTGTAGTACCTGCTGTTACGCGACGCCTCAAACAACCTACTCTGACCGACGTAAAAGTGAAATCTCCGTTGACATTAACAGGGGGAGTAGTACCACCTGGTACTGACATTGTTAATAATGCACCTTTAGTGGAAACCGAAGATCTGGATAAAACAGTCACCGTTCCAAATAGTCCTAGTGTTATGAGGGATGAAAAGTGGACTACGGTACGTAGGAAACGAAAAGAAAAAAGCTGTAAGCAGTACACAGGTAGTTAGTAACTCACTGGTGGACTCAAATTGTGAGCCACAAATTGCACTACCAAGATCTGATGGTAAGAGTGAAACCCATCCTGGCGTGACTGAGAAGAAAAATCTAATAACATCGAATATTATTGTGAGCAAATTGCGGGAGTCAAACGACCCTGATCCGAAAATTAGACACGCGCATGACTTAGAAAAGCTAGGAGAATACATTCGTAGTATTTTACCAGATAACTCCAAAGGAGTTCAGGTAAAAAAATTGGTTAAAATAGGGAAGAGGACAGAGGACAATGTTGAACCCCGTCCATGCAGACTCCTTAAGGTAATCCTAAGATCGAAGAAGCAACGGGATCTCTTGTTAAGTAGCGCTCGTTGTCACGACAATTCTGACATCCGAGTTAGACCTGACATGTCTCTCGAAGGTAGAATAATAAGGAAGAAAGCACTAGCTGAATTTGAAACCCGTCGGCAAAACGGTGAGGAAAATCTCCGGCTAGTGGGTTTTGGATAGTCAGGTCTTGGAAGCGAATGCTACCAAGGCCTGTGTGGATAGGCTGTTCTACTTAGGAGTTTTATATGCCAACGCTCGTAGTCTACGAAATAAGTTCTATGAACTAGAAGCGCCAGTGAACAGGTTAAAGCCACTCATATTAGCAGTGACAGAAACTTGGTTAGTCCATGAATTAGACATTAATCCAGAATTATCCGGATACCATTACATCAGGAGTGATAGACATAGATGTAGAAAAGGAGGCGGCGTCCTGTTATATATAGCCAATAGCTTAATATCCGCTCCTCTAATAGCAAATCCCATGATAGCGGCACTTGTGAAGTCATTAGCTTTAAGTTGGCTATAGGATGTAGTACATTTATGCTAGGTGTCATCTATCGCAGCCCAATCTGCTTAGCTGATGACTTTATTTTAGAGCACATTCATCTTTGGAGTGAAAATACCAGGTGCTTGATAATAGAAGACTTTAACGCACCTGATATTAGTTGGACTGATATGACCACAGAAGGATCTATAAACTCCTTTGATAGTAGGTTCCTGATAACAATGATGGAGCATGCACTAGTGCAGCATGTATCCTAACCCACACGTTTTGGTGTTAACCAGGGTTCTTCTCTGCTGGACTTGGTAATCACTCATGAGACTGAGGATATTGTCGACTTAAATTTTCTCCCACCCTTAATGAACAGCGATCACGCTGTTTTGTCATTCGCGTTTAGAACTAGGGACATGTTATACGATAAGGTTACACCGTTCCCAAATGTATGGAAAGCTAACATATCAGCCATTCAGGAATGCGCTGCTAAGACAGATTGGTTAGTAGATACTAGCATATCAGTTGAAGAAGCATGATCTGTATTTAAAGGTAAATTTAGACTAGTTACGTCCCCGTTCATACCATACCTGGTACCACGAAGACCGAATAACAGTCCACAATGGATAACAAAAACGGTCAGGAAACTCCTTAGAAAAAGGAAGAATCACTGGAATATGTTCATCTCTACTGGCTTAGAACAATACAGATCCAGTTATTGTAAGATTAGGAATGCCTGTAAAGCGTTAATAAGCAAGACTAGACTATCATACGAAAAACAATTGGTTAGGGATTCTAGATATAGTCCGAAACGGTTATTCTCGTATATAAAAAGGCGAACTAAGAGAAGCGATGGAATTCCATCACTTTTGATACGAGACAATCCGTTAATCTTAGCAGAGAATGATGCCGAAAAAGCTGAAGCTTTATCGGAATATTTTAGTAAAGTGTTTTCTATCGGTAATGAGGAACGACCAATGATTCATTGTGACCGTGACGGCTCGCTGATGGATCCTGTAGTCATTGAGAAAGATACTGTTTTAAGGCTACTTCAGCATCTCAAACCTGATAAGTCCAGTAGTCCTGATGATATTCATCCTAGGATTATGAAAGCCATATCAGACGAAATTGCTGAACCATTAGCGATACTATTCGACATGTCTCTGAGACAGTCCAGACTTCCTAGAGACTGAAAAGACGTCATAATAAGTCCGGTGTATAAGGCTGGGAGTAGGGATTTAGTTAGTAACTATAGACCCGTTAGCTTAACTAGTGCAGTTGTAAAACTGATGGAGCAAATCATTCGGATAGCTGTTATAAACTATGTTGAAGGGCAAAATCTTTTCTCCAGGGCACAACATGGTTTTCGGAAAGGCCTATCTTGCTTGACAAATCTCATTGCACGAGAAGATTGAGCTGCGGCAAAGGATCTGAATGCTCCTGTGGATGTGATTTTCATAGATCTAAGTAAAGCCTTTGATAAGGTTTCCCACTCTGGTCTTAAATTCAGAGTGGAACGTTTTGGAATCCATTATACAGTCGTCGATTGGATAAGTACCTTCCTCCATGACAGGAGACAAAGGGTAAGGGTTAATGGGGCTCTCTCCTCGTGGGTACCTGTAAAAAGTGGGGTTCCCCAAGGTACAATCCTAGGTCCTCTTCTCTTTTTACTTTATGTAAATGAATTGCCAACTGTAGCAAAATCATCCGTCCTAATCTTCGCTGATGACATAAAGATTTGGAGACCCATACATAGTATATCGGATAGAATAGTATTACAGGACGATCTTAGCTATTGGTGGCATGGTTAGACAGGTGGTCACTAGAAGTAAATCCTAATAAGAGTGTAGTGATGCAGTTAAATAACTCTGATGAATCGTATGACTATACACTACGTGGATTCGTGCTACCCAAAGCAAGAAACTATAAAGATTTAGGAGTCATATTAAGCAATGATCTCAAAACGACTAGTCACTGTAAGGCTGCTGCTGCAAAAGGCTATAGGGTATTATGGTCAATTCGTAGGTCTTTTCAGTATTTAGATGATGAAATGTTTGGATTACTATACCCGATTTATGTGCGACCACATTTAGAATACGGGATTCAAGCAGCGTTTCCTTGCTTCAAGTATGAAGCAGATATGTTAGAAAGAGTTCAACGACGAGCTACTAAGATGGTACAAGGTATATCTGGCCTATCTTATGAAGATAGACTGAGACACCTTAACTTATTTCCGTTATCTTACCGTAGATTACGGGGTGATCTAATATTGGCCTATCGTATACTGAACGATGACCTTGGTATTAACATGTCTTATCTTTTGCTTCCGTCTAGAACCGATCATTTGAGAGGACATTCGAAGAAAGTTCAAAAACTGAGATCAAACCGTTTACGTCTGGAGTTCCGTTTCTCGCACCGAGTAGTGAATTACTGGAATTCTCTACCGGAACACGTAATATCAGCATCGTCTGTTAATATATTCAAAACGAGGTTGGACCTCCACAGTATTACAAACTGAAAGGATTAATATAGGTCGATAGACCTCCTATCCTTATCCTTATTACTGAAGACATAAATATTACTAAGGCGTTCCAATGATTGACTACTCGATGAGAAAAACGGGACCCCACTTTAAGTTTATTAGATCGTGGTTTATGAACCTTCTTGCTATGACCTCGGAGATTATTAGTGAAGGAGGGAGCAAAAATATAAGACACATTAACACCAAAATCATAATTAAAGGTACGAAATGCCATTATAAGGTCACCTTGTGTCCTACGATACGACAAGGGGAAAAGATTTAGGCGTTTTAAACGCTCATCGTAAGGGAGTCTAGAAAGACACTTCACTAATTTCGTTCCCACACTCTGGACACGCTCAAGTGAGTTAGTATCCTTTACCAGTCATGGGCTAGCTGCTTGTAGACAGTACTTTAAATGTGGTCTTACACATATGGGGTACAAAATTCGAACCGTTTCCTCGTTAAAAGACTTAAACGCTTGGCGAAGTGACCATAACTCACGAAAACCTTTGACAGCGGCTGCCCTGCAATGCGTAGTAGTTTTTAAATCATGGCTTAATATTACTCCTAAGTCTTTATGCTCTTGAACGCATGGAAGAGGTTTGCCCTCAATAGTGTAACGGTAACTACTACCGTGACCGATGTGCATTAGCACACTCTTCCTAGCATTGATTTCTAAGCCCCACTCTCGAGCCCATCTAACTAAATCGTCTAAGTCAGCTTGAAGATCCAGATGATCAGCCGCACTTTTTATTGTTCTCCCGATTTTTACATCATCCGCAAACAATAATGTCGACGACCTAAGTAACAGCGGTAACTCATTAACGTAGAGAAGGAAGAGCAGAGGGCCTAAGATAGTGCCTTGGGGCACACCACTTTTGACCGGCTTCCAATCGGATGGCGTTCCGTTGACCCTCACTCTGTCTGCGGTCACATAAGGAATTTCCTATCCACTCATGTACAGTACCTATTATTCTGAAGGTCGTGAGCTTCTGCATAAGACCTACGTGTGAAGCCTTGTCAAATGCTTTGCTAAAATCTATGAATATCACATCGACAGACAGACTGTTATCTAAGGCTGCTGTCCAATCCTCCCTCTCAATAAGCAAGTTAATGAAGCATGAACGCTTGTTACGAAATCCGTGTTGCTCAGGAGCTAACAGATTGTGTGAGGCTATGTGGCTTAGCAACTTAACCCGAATTATCTTTTCAAGTAACTTAACGACTATACTAGTTAGACTAACAGGCCGGTAGTTAGATACTATCTATCTCTGACCGTCCTTAAATATAGGACTGACTATAACGTCCTTCCAATCTTTAGGGAGTTAAACGAGTGAAAGGGACGTGTTGAAGAGTGTCACGAGCGGTTTTGAAATAATGTCCGCAAGTGATGACAGCAATCGTGGATGTAACCCGTCAGCGCCCAGTATCTTACCAGGTTTGAGGTTATTTATCAACGGAAGAACAGTTTCCTTAGTCACCTGTACAGATTCAATGGTTTGTAAGCAAGGATAGGTACGTAACTGTATTTCGGGTTGAGTGACAGTGAATCACATTGAGAAAGACTGTATATCTGTAACTCATCTGCATAAGAGGAAGCAAATTGCACATCCTGTTTTTAAGCGGATTGGGGAGTCAAATCAACTGCCTTTTAGTGACTGGAGAGTTACTTCGTCTACTGTATGCACAGACCAGTAAAAAGACGGGCTACATATACTTATTGTGGGCTGGAATTTCCACTAGGACTCAAACTTTTATGCGGTCTATGGATTCATAGAGCTATGTAAATATAGTGTTGTTTAGGTATCAATGATTGATTAATGATGGTTGACTGTTATTACCATTGGCAAGGAAAGCATATGTGGTTGAATCATATCCTGCTTAACTCGACGAGCCAACTTTTTCAGGTTGTGTATTTTAAAGTAATTCAAATATAATACTTGGCTCATCTATCTCATATCGTCACGTCCGAACTGATACTCCACTTATGCACATTCAGAGTGTTCAACCCTAGTTCTAGATAATGTTAAATAAGACCAAAGGAAAAATATTATTGGGGCATAACAGTAAGAACCAGATTTTCCACTCTCCCTGGAATTTAGGAGCATTATTCCTTTTTTTAAGGTTAATTACTGTTTTCGTTTCACTTTCGAATTGCGTGTAGAGTAAGGGGGTCCTTACAAAAATGTATGAAAAAGTCCTCTAGGATTATATTCGTGAGAAAACAAATCATTCACACTATAGTTTAAAAGATTTATTTTTATTTATTTATTTATTTCAACACATAGATAATGGTACAAAGAGGCACCAAATACATATGCGCCACACAAATATCATTCGATATGTGTGAGGGCTGTGATACTGCCCGGGTGCCCAAACCGAAGCAGGTGATTTTCTTAGGGGGCCACTCCCCGAGCCTTCGACCTGAAGGTCTGATCCACAAGGCAGTGGAGCATCGTGAGGAGATGCAGTCCCATAGAAGCTGGTGACCATAAATTGGTTCACACGCCATTTGTTCCCGCAGGATACTGGAGCCCATGTGCACCATTGGTTTGGGATCCGGTTAAAGCGCCGGACGTTCGCTTTTCGTCCTCTCATTTTCTTAAACAACACCCGCGACACGAGAAGGCAGTGAGTAGGACTTCCCTGGCAGAGGCTGTGTACGCGTGGCCGTGTGAGAGCATTTCGAGAGGGAGGCCGAGCCCACCCCACTCTCGGCCGTACCAGGGCATTTGGGGGCGTTTGTAAGCAAGCTCAATTTCAGTAATTTGTAACAAAACGAAATGTCCAATTCATAAAAAATTGCTGGCTTTTTAGATGGATTGAGATAGTCAGTATGACAATTTGAGATAAATCTACTCTATACTGTCTGTATGCTTTATCTGTCTACACAACTAAATGACCAAGTACGTACTCGAGACGATAGCAACCGATGGTTAGAGACCTTGAATGACATGACTCAAAATCGTTTGCAGTGGCACAGGTGCATCCACTCTGTATCCTCTCGAATTCTTCATGTCTCCTTCTTTCTCTTTCCATATTTGTTTTACTGGGTTATAGTCCTTGAATAACATATTCAAACCATGATCTTACCGATTACTGCTTTATACTCTTACTACCTCTACCACTGTGGGATTTGAATCGACAATTGTATCTCTGTGCTAATGTGGTATGGCAATTTGAACTGATATACGTTGTTGCTGACCTGACCTGACGTAAATGATGTTAATAAACATTTATTTCGTTATCGCCTGATTATAGGAGCCAAATTCATCATTCCCAGCCACCGCTTAACTCAGCGTTCGATTTTAAGGATAGATCAAGCAAATAATATTAATCCTCGCAATTTGTATTACTATTAAGGTTCAATTACTATTCGGATATACCAACAGGTATTGATATTACGTGTTCTAATAGATTTTAGCCGATGTGGGGTTCCGTTGGATAAAAGCTATGGGGGCCAAAACAAGATGTAGCATCGGTCCATGAAGTCATTGACTTTCAGATTAAATTGTATTAGTTATTACAGATTACATGGTTAAGTTTCATGCGATTATTGAAATTAATAGTTGAAGACGGATTGCATTAGTCAATATCTGTCACTATGGCCCATATGCATTCACTCGTCATCCCTTAGGTCTCGAGTTTTAAAGCTATCCCTGACTTATTCCCCGAATTTTCAAATCATTGTCTATACCAAATGGTCTTACCACCACTGATACTGTTATTACATCTAGTACTTTGGCTTTTATCTGAACAGTTTCAGCCCGCTCTACTGATACGGTGTGGAAATTAAACCGATGACCATATTTCCCAGGTCTTACGTTGTTCATAATTGACTAACAGAATGGATCACTGTCGATTAAAAAAAACTTTTTCGCTTCCTCAGCAACTAAACTATACACGTTTCATCCTGTTAATAACGTTTTGAACTGTCCACTTTATTAAGGTCCTATAATGTAATTTCATGCTGATTATAGTCTGTTGGATGAGTGTTGCTGCATGTAATTTACAGTTTGTTTGGCTTCTGTTCAAACTTCTACCAGGTATGTATAAACTCCAACCAACTTATCGAAAAAGTGGCAACTTCAGTTTCAGCCTTTGTTGAAGCCATGCATCGTGATAGCTGTTCATCTAACAATAATGGCGAAGTTCGTGGTGCAATTAACTTGGAGTTTGTGGTTCACAGAAAAGGGGTTTGGTTGGGACCAGAAGCCGCAACTTGGGAACGTTGGATTGTAAATGTGATTCTGAAAAGCGTCAGTGCGAATGGTAACCTAGATGTTTTTGAGCATCTTTATTTTATCTCGAATTCAGTGGGTGTTGACACGTTACTGAATTAATGTCCAGTTCAATGAGTGGTTTAGTCACTATGCTATCAATAATTAGTCTTTGAGTTCGTATCGTTCTCATGTTATAGAAATATGGGCAACTAGGGTATATTCCAAATGCCTCACATTAGTATTCACTGGCTCCACTCATCAGGATACTTGACATAATTTCAGTTGAGTACAAACCTGTACCGATTTCGATCTAAACAATGGTATTTGTCATAAAAAATCTATTTAGTATGTTTCTGGGATGTAAACACTTAGTGATCCGTTATGTAGAACCACTGAATCGCGATAAACAACGTCGTAGCAGAACTGTTAGAAATTCCACTTTAATAAACCTTTCTCAGAGATCGTCTACTATAGTTTTTCTATTGGTGATTATTTTGGATTGTGGCAATTGTGTTTTGCAGTTGCCAGTTTATTCGATTTACAAGGTGGCTCAATTTATGCCCAATGTTGGGTGATTTCCATGCATGGAGTTGTATTAAAAATCATTAATCTATGATGTTAATCGGAAAGAGAACCCCACAGAATTACATGAACTTGTTAATTTTTTGAGTTTTGATATTAGGGAACTTCAGGCTTGTTGCTTTTTGTTGACTTTATAGTGACTTGCACTGTTTTCTTTTGATGGTTCAAGAATAAAAATGAAGTAAAATAGTTTGATTTCATTTTATTTTAGGGTTTTTGTCAACTAATTACTTAAAGAAGGGGGTTTTGTCTGTATAGCATATTTAGATGGATATTTCCAGAACATAAAAGACAGCTGAAGAAAAGATAAAGGTAATAAGTGTCTAGAATAGGAAATAGGTATCTTAGCTACGTGAAGAACATAAAATAACGGAGGATTTCAATCACCTTGAACGAAACTAGAAGACGAGTATGAGAATTTACAGAGAGTGCAAAAACGTTATAATTTGGTTGGATTGTTATCAAAATGAAGTTACTGTGATAGGAATATAACAAGAACAGTTTCTTGCAGAATGCCTAGAACATTCTTAAATACTACAAAAACAGTCGCTTCTTCAAGAAACAGTAAATTCACATTCACTTTTAGTTGTTAGTTATCTGAAATCGGCTCAAATGATTGTTACGCGTTTTATCAAGCAGTCGGCATATACGTGTATAATATTAAACAGTGTTGACTTAAAGTCTTTTTTTATGGGCGGTTTGGTACAACGTTATTAGTCTAGGAGTTAAAAAATTTTAAGTTTTCACTCAGTTACATGATGTTTCATTTTCTTGTTTTGCGGTGATTTATCACTTATGATTCCTTTCATCAATTGTCTTCTAACAACTATTGTTTCAAACTGATTGTTTACCACAGAAAAAGAGGATCATCGTCGTCAAATTAGCAGTCAACTAAGAGATGAATTGTGCAACATTCTCGAACACTTCAACTCTCCCTCAGCTTATGCTCCATCTTTAGGTAGCTCACAAGTGGAAACAGAACACATCATTGACTTCTCTATGTGCGGGATTTCACCCTATCGGTTTAGTATAAATTATCTTTCTAATTCATGTCAAAGTCGTTCCGGAGTGAGTGTGACCATGAGGCGTATATTTAAAGATGCTAGACTTTGATATACATTTTTATTTTCATATTTTGTGTATTATCAATAATATGTACCTAATTTTGATACCGATATTGGACTATCAGTCATAAGCGATTCGGCATTTATATAAAGTCGTGGGAGTCAGTTCTTTATTTCCTAATTCTTGTTTTTATTTTTCGCTATGTTTATTACTTGAAGTTGCATATTAGTATTTCTTTAATTCTGATTGCTGTTTTGTTATGATTTTGGTGAATTTTTATAAAAATTGCGATGAACCAGTTGCAGATGTGAGTTTGACTTGCAAGTTTTTAGATGTCTATCCATAACCATATTAATAATGACCTCAAAAGATTCACCGCATACCCTGCTAACTGCTTTCGGCTTTCTCCGCAATACAGCAGCGTTTTCTCAAAAGCCCAGGAAATAATAATAGGTAATATGCAAGAACTGACAAACTGTAGGAGTAAGTGTCGAGTAATCCCAAAAGTATGTAGCCTCTTTATGTAAGTCAGACGGAATACTTTCTTCGATAGTAATAAAACATGTGAAAACCAACAGAGATCAGAGGAAAAAGTTGCACCAAAATAATTGATCTTCGATACTGTGTTTATCAAGGAACCTCCAATGATACAAACATTATGGGATTCCAACAGGGTGTTTAGATGCTGTTTCTGTCTCAGGCTAAAGTCAACAGTTTGACATTTAGACAAATTAATCATGAAACCATCAGCAATAGACTACCATTCAATATGAGACAAAAGCTCATTAATTTTTTAGGGGGATGTAAAGAGAAAGAAATCGACATACATACACTGATATCTTCCTGAAATTTAACCAAAGTGAACTACAACAAATAATAAGCAATGAGGACTTCCCATAAAATGAAATTGGGAGCTTGTCACACTTCCTGTTAATAAACCAATCCGATTCATCTGACCATTTTAGATAGAATCCCGAGCTCCCGATTTCGGGGAAAATTTGACCCATTTTGGGGAAGCCGCTATAGTGAACTTTGGTGAGATGGCACAAAAACCCCAAAATTCCCCTTTGACCTTGGTCAAGGTCATTTGACTTTGGGGACTTCCTTGAAATTCCCCAAACGTTGGTGAAGGTCATTTCCCTAAACTTGGGAGCTCGGTATGAAGTGTATGTAGAACGAATTACGACGTAAAATTTTCATATTTCCTTGTTGCAGACAATTAAAGCTTATCCACGCGTTCCAATATTCAGCGATAGTTCATCACAGTCTGTAGTACGCCAATCAAATGAGCGTTTATCTTGTGCATGTACTGAAGTGGAATATTTTTCTAACCAGACAGTATGTAAATTACACACTGCATGTTTGTGTAATAGTTCATAATTAACTCAACTAAATGGTTATCTAACACACCACCCCTAACTTTGTTAACCTTGACAATCGAGGTTTATGTTTCGAGTTACTGTATTGTACTAATTTGAACTTTTACGTCAAATTAGGAACGTTGCATTAAAAAATGTAGAATAAATGGTAGTGACAACAATGGAGTATTCGAGTTTCTTTCATTTCTGGTCCTCTGTTTCTGTGATAGTGACAACGAACAATGTTGTAACAATAGAAATGTGGTGTAATAAGTGTGTATATTTGAGTGTTTCAGACTTTCTGTGAGTGGTATTGATTCTGAGAGATTTGCAGAACAAGGATGAAGATCTATTACTTTACGTCTACAACACAGGTATGATCAACTGTTATTGTAAAAAACTGTGGAAGTTGCTGAAGTATTGAAAAGAAAGGTAGATCGCGAAAGTCAAAGGCTGTATTGCGTAATGCATACATTTTAATTGTGATTTATAATTCTTTGTGTTCTTTGATATCTTGTAAACAGTGTTATTCCATACCTCATTCTCCATTTGTACTCTCTTTTTCTACTGTATTCTCTGTCTATTTTGTTACTGTTATTAGTATTATTATTTCTACTCTGCTTTTTGACATAGTTCATGTCCTCTCTAAGTGCCGATCGGTGTAAGATATGAAAGACTGTATATGACTGACAGCTGAATCACAGAAGCTATCGTTTGCGCTTTGTTTGATTATGGGGATAACGGAAGGTGGTCGGGATGCTTTACACTTCCACTTAGAGGACATGACAGACATCTGCTTCGAGGTTTTACCTTCATCTCTTACTCTTTGGTTGAAAACAGTAAATGAGGTTTCACAAAATCGGTCATAGTGAAGCAAATATGTTGAATATTTGTTGTCCCTCAAATGTTGCATACTTCTTAGTGGTTGATTTGATTTACGCTTTTCGAACTGTATCCCATATGTCTGATTTTCTGTAATGAGTTCTGTTTCTGTTTGCTCAATATTCGTTTTGGTGATCTTAAAGATTTCGCAGGTATTTGGAGTTTGGCAATGCCTTTACCAATAACACCTTCATATTCGAAGTATCCGAACCCAGTCAAATCAGCAGTCAGAAGCGAAGAGGTTCGAAGATATATTTGATAGGCTATCGGTATGTTGAGAAACGTTTGGTCTAAGCTGACTAACAGTTGAAAGGGATGCGTAGCACAGTGTACCCACTCGCGATCTGGTGCGGATTCGTGACCGAGCACCTTCAACTAGGTGAATCCAGTGAAAATAATGCGGTCAGCATCCAATGTTGAAGACTTACGAAGCTATTGATTTCGGGGATTTATTTACCGTGTAGCGGTAAATAAATCCCCGAAATCAATAGCTTCGTAAGTCTTCAACATTGGATGCTGACCATATGTTTTAGTGGACTCATCTAGCTGAAGGCGCTCGGTCAGGCATCCGCACCAGATCACGTGTGGTAACGCTGTGCCCAACATCTATCGCAATCGCTAGCCAGATTAGATCAGAGAATTCCGATATATTGGTCATCGCCAAATATACTCTTCCGCTCTCCTCGACTCTGTCTTTTGATTTCTCTGGGTGGGAACGAAATACATTAGAAGGTGTTACTGGTAGAAGCGTTGTCAAACACTGAATACCTGTGACGTCATCATTGGTGAGACCGACGTGACCTGGTACACCTAATTGCAACTGTGAGTCTGTTCCTTTTCGGGATTTTTATATATCATTGCCTTATTTTTTATTTTTTTTAAACATTGTGATTTTTTTTCGTGCTTTTTCTTGGATATATATATTTTTTCCCCTCGTTCATTATCGTACTTCATACTTCATCATGACTGAACAGACACCTAAAGTACTCAAGCTTAAGACTTTGTCCCCGCCTTCGTTTTAACTGATGCCTTTCTGGCCCGACAACATCGAAGCCTGGTTTTGCTACGCAGAAGCCGACTTCTCCGAGCACGGCGTGATCGACACACGTGCACAATTCCTCGCAGTAGTCAAGGCACTACCGCGCGAATTCAACAGGTACGTAACACCTAGTATGTTTACTAGTGATGTTTCCGATCCTTACGAAATCTTAAAACGCTCGATTCTTAAACGAGGAGACCTAACCGATCGACAAAGGTTAGATCAACTCTTCAACAATATCGACCTGCAACATGGTTCTGCGACAGACATGTTGCAACGGATGAGAGAGGTAATAGGCCCAAGAACTTTCGACGAAGGTCTATTCAAACAACTCTTCTTGTCAAAACTTCCCCAACAGGTGCAAGCAGTTCTGGTCTCGTTCCAGAACAACGCCTTAGACGAGCTAGCTGCATCTGCCGACCGCATTTTAGAAATTACGAAACCTTCTACTACCGAGGTATTTTCAGTCAAAGAAAAAACTCAAACGACTCAGAATGATATAACCGACTTATGTCACACACTCACGCGTTATCTTAGTCTTCGTACCGACCGTGAGAGATCGCGCACACCACGTAGAAGCATTTCTCGTAAGCGATCTGTCTCTAGACCACGAGAGACAGATAACCCCGACTGGTGCTGGTATCATAACCAGTATGGAAAGCTTTCCAGAAATTGCAGAAAACCCTGCAATTTTCCCAACACGAAACCGACTGATTCGAAAAGCAATTCGGGAAACTCCCAAGCCGGGACGCGTTAACGGCAACCGTAGCCGGCGAACAAAGCCGTCTGTTATTCGTCACAGATGTGACAACGAGAGTTCGCTACCTCGTCGACACTGGCGCAGAAGTTAGCGTTCTCCCAGCAAATCCTAACGACCGACTTCACGAATCGATCCTAAACTTACAGGCGGCAAACGGAAAACCGATCGCTGCGTATGGCAAAAAGTACGTTTACCTTAACGTGGGTTTACGCAAACCCATCCACTGGATCTTCGTTGTTGCAGATGTTTCTATACCAATCATTGGTATGGACCTTCTACAACACCACAATCTGATCATCGAAACTCGCAAACGGAGGCTAGTAGACGGAAACACTAATTTGTCCGTTTGCGTAACTTCTTTTACTGGTTGTAGAGTATCCCCAGTCACAGTTAAACATATGATAGACCCACTCTATCAACCACTACTCGATAAGTACCCTGGGATACAACAAACTCAACCGAAACTACCGTGTGTAACCAGCAATGTTACACATCACATCACGACTACAGGACCACCTGTATTCTCTGAAGCACGACGACTAGCTCCTGAAAAGCTAAGGTTAGCAAAAAACGAATTCGATCACATGATGGACTTAGGAATCATACGACCGTCAAGTAGCCCATATGCATCTCCGTTGCACATGGTCCCTAAAAAGGACAGCAACGATTGGCGTCCAACTGGTGACTATCGGCGATTGAACGCGAAAACCATTCCCGATCGTTACCCGTTGCCTCACATTCACGATTTGACAGCTACTTTGAAAGGTACAACTGTCTTTTCGAAAATCGACTTGGTTAAAGCGTATAACCAAATCCCTGTGGCCACTGACGACATACCGAAAACAGCTATCATAACTCCCTTCGGACTCCATGAATTTTTGCGAATGCCTTTCGGTCTAAGGAATGCTGCTCAAACATTCCAAAGATTCATAGACGACGTTTTTCGAGGTCTCAACTTCGTACACGCGTATGTTGATGACTGTCTAATCGCAAGTCCGGACAGAGAAACACATCTCAAGCATCTGGATCTTGTTTTCGAACGACTTCAAAAACATGGCATAACTGTAAACGTTCAGAAATGCCAATTTGGAACCGACTCATTAGACTTTCTGGGACACACTATCGATGCTCAAGGTATCCGACCCCTTAGAACCAAAGTGGCGGCCATTCTGGATTACCCAGAACCGACCACCATTAAGCAATTACGCACGTTTAACGGCCTGGTAAGTTTCTATAGACGTTTCATACCGAAATGCGCATTACTTATGAAACCTCTGACCGACCAACTTCGTGGAAATGCGAAATCCATTAATTTGGACGACACCGCACGAAAAGCATTCTCCACAGTTACGGAACTGATCGCTAAAGCAACACTGCTTGCACACCAGGACACCCGAGCACCCATTAGCATCGCAGTAGACGCATCCGACTCGGCAATCGGAGGAGTCTTACAACAATGGGTTAACAACTCCTGGCAACCCTTGGCATTTTTCTCTAGAAGGTTGCTAGACACCGAATCGAGGTACAGCACATTCGGTAGGGAACTCCTAGCTATGTATTGTGCTGTACGGCATTTCCAGCACTACATCGAAGGCCGTGAATTCACTCTTTTCACGGACCATAAACCGCTCACTTTCTCGTTAAGCTCCTCTTCAGACAAGTACTCTCCCCGTGAGTCTCGACAACTGGACTACATTTCGCAGTTTACTTCAGACATTCAACACATCTCTGGAGCAAACAATGTAGTTGCAGACGCTTTATCTCGCATAACTTCCTTGAACAGTTTCCAAGGAATCGACCTTCTTAAACTCGCCCAGCTTCACAAAGAAGACACTGATCTTCAGCACGAGTTATCGCCCACAACCCTCAAGTTACGTATCGAACAGATGGGAACAGGTAAGGAAACCTTACTTTGTGACACATCTACAGGTAGGGATCGCCCAATCGTGCCGAAACATTATCGACGCAATGTCTTCAACACATTGTACAAACTTTCGCATCCAGGCGTCCGTG